ACGAAAATAAATATACTGTTTAATAAATAAACGGAGCGTCTACTCAGATATGAGTATCCACTAAAATAACATTTAAAGTGATAAAAATATGTCGGATTAATAAATAAAAAATACATCCTTTCTTTAAAAATTGCTTTGTTTACGCTAGGATATGAAACTGAGCAGATGTGCCTATTTCGAGAGTCAGAAAAAAATATTTGCTTAACGCCGAAATTCATCTTTGATTCGTCATCGACACACTCATCAAAGCACATTCGTTGCATTCACTTACGCGTTATGTTGGATTCTTACTTTCGCCAAGTGGTAAAATTAAGAATCCATATGTTCTCCACCATCCAAGCTATGGATCAAAGAACAAGACAGGCTGGGTTCTCTAACCGTGGTTGGCCTTCTTCTAGAAACTGACAGGACAAATATTCTGGCGTTGAACTTCAAAAGATCCTTCATATTGGTCAATGGAAGTGATCCAATTATTCCAAGTCAGATCGAAAACTGTGAGATCATATAGGGCAGTGTATCACTTCTCCTACTACATGCGCAACCGAAACCCCTATGATGACATGTAAAGAGCACCAAGAAGAAGCATGTGGATTCAATGTGGCGAACAATTTGCTTCGTTATGATTGTTCTTGAGAAATATTGCCGAGAGCTTTCCCATTGTCCGCTTCGCAGTTTTCAGTTCATAGTTATTCTACTCGGGTGGTTGACAACAAAAAGCTGATGAGTTCAGCCTGCTTTGCTATTAATTCCTTGCTGTGTATGTGAAGAGAGAAGAAATACTTTGGTTGTTTTAAATCTAGATATTTTTTACGCAATTTTATGGCTTCAACTACATATTTTGTACGTAATTTTAGAATTTTTCTAGGTTTGGTGTGGTTTATATTGTTTTACGGAATCAATAGGTTACTTAATGTAGACAAGATTTTCAGGATAAGTTCGTGTGAATAGAATATGTATTCTTTGTAGAAAATCCGTTTGTAGATCAGGTTTCATTGACGTATTTTTGTAAAGAAGGTTTTTGGCAAGAGTCAATTTTCTAGTAATTTTTTTCAGAAATGTTTTGCTAGTATTTTTACTATAAAAAATCTATCTTTATACGTTCACAGTGTTTTGACACCAGTTTTGGCGATCACTATTTGCCATAGCTGGGATCCTAAGAGGTGCTACTATCCCGGGTCTGGGTGGACCTGGGAACAGCAACAATTACGAGGTGGTGCCATGCGCCTCAAAACCTGCCGATCTGATGCCATGCTGCTAGAAGTAGTTTATCGTCATACACGGGACTCGAAAAAAATAGATTCATACCTTTCGGAGGGAAGGGGAGACGGTGGATACTGATGGAATTTGAACTTGATAATTCCATCCCGTTATCCTCGCCGAGAAGCACTTACGGGACGCGCATATGCACGGAACATAAATAAAAAATGTGAAAAAAAAAGAAACGAAATAAATGTTGTCAGGTATAACGACGCCTGAGAAATAAAATCGGTCATTTGCCTTTCAGGTTTTGTAAGTTCACTTTTGTTTTATCCTGAATCAGCGCCCGATGTGAAATGAACGTACTAATTACAATAATCAACGTGATAAAAATATTCTCTGTTAATTATGGTTTTTGATTGTCTGTTTTCCAAAAAAGAATAAAGTATGAAAACAATGGAAGTCATCTTCAGTATCATTAATGATAACACCGGTTGTATGTCTACACAAACATACAATCATTTTTTATATACATATATATATATATATATATATATATATATATATATATATATATATATATATATATATATATATATATATATATATATATATATATATATATATATATATATATATATATATATATGTGTGTGTGTGTGTGTGTGTGTGTGTGTCAAAAATACATTTACAAACTTTGATGGTGGGTTCCTCACACCAAAACAAGGACAAAAGTTCATATAAACATGTCCGCAAAATTTTCGTTTTTGAGTTATTAAGTTTAAAGTTTACGGTAGACGCAGTTAAATGGACAATCCAAGATACAATCCAAAAATACTTTTAAAAACGTCGGGAGCGGGTTCCTGAGAACAAAACAAAGGATAATGTCCATATAAAAATATGCCCAAAAGGCAATTGTTGTACCGCAACCCATAAACTCATAACAAATGTTCAAAATGTCATCCGCTTGCTTCTACATATGCGTGCAGCCGTCGGATTATTGACTGGCGGACCATTTCAAATACTCACACACGGTGTTGAATAGTTTTCTATGATACGTTCATGAAGCGTCTGCGCATTATTAATATCTGATAAATAAACCCATTGTTTTAGGTCGGGGCAACGCAATGGCTATAGAATGGGTCCTCTATTACTTATTCATCTTTCATGGTAAATGTCATTTAGTGCATCGCGAAAGATGTGTCTAAAATGTGCTGGAGCCCATCATTAAACTGATGCTGATGGCTGCATTGCGCCATGGGGATTACGATCCGCCCACAGATTTTGGTTGTGTAAATTTGCTATTCCATCTCTTCCAAATGATTCCTCGTCCGTAAAGAAGACCGAAGCGACAAACAACGGATAGGCATTTTGGGCAATAAACCATCAACAAAAGTTCTCCCATGGTGAGTGATCAGAAGACGAAATTACCTGCATACGTTGCAAATTATACGAATACAGGTGCTTCTTTTGAAGTACCCTCCATGTAGTACTATGAGATGTACGACATGCCAGGGCCACTTGGCGTGTGCTGATACCTGAATCATTTCCGATATACTGTAAAATGTCTTTTTCGTAGTAAGGCGTACAATCTGATCTCGGTCTTCTTCGATCCAGAGTTTGTGGTTCCACCGATCCTGTCTCGGCAACGCAAGCATAAACAACAGCAAAGGTTGAATGACTCAGCCGCCTTCGGTCTGGGAATGCAATCTGATACATCCATGCAGCCTCGTGCCCATTACCATACAAAAATCATATCTGCCTGCTAACGATATGAATATCCTGACATTGTTAAACGGAATACATCTCAGTTAACTCACTACTACACACGTTAAACGATGGAGGCAGACTAGCTACAAATGTACATGAGTGACGAATATAACCTACTCTATATGGTTACTCGCACCATCTACCGTAATCTTTCTTTAAAATGAAGGATTTGACGATATCTGTATATATGGAATTTTGTCCTTGTTTTGGTGTGAGGAACTCGTCCCCAATGTTTGTAAATTATTTTTTATACACCCTGTATATTGCCTTACCCAAGTACTTTCGATCACCTCCTAGATCGTCAGGGGTAAATTAAAAGACAACCTTATTTTAACTGTGATAAAATCTGCATTTCGTTGTGATGTTGATTTTTAAAACACACGCGTGACCGAGCTCTGCGATAATTACTGTAATTTATTTACCACCGAGGACGCTACGTTCTTCTGAAATTATTTTTTTTTAACTTGTGAAATGAAGAACGCTAAGTGAGTACTGAAATTGGTTTGACTAACGCTTCAGGGGAGGAGATTAAGAATGGCATTGTCGAGATATTTATGAAATAAGTATTAAAAATATTAGCACTAACCGCGATATTTTAAACAATCTACTGTAAATATTTTAATACATTTGTGCAGTATTCATAATTAATTTTATTATGGTTTGTTAATATAGATAGCATCGAAAAATTTTAGTTTATGTTTATTATTTTCATGAAGAAATATAGATGTATTTTCAACAAGAATTTTTCTGAATTGCGAATGTAGACAGGTATGCTGTTGTAAATGTTTAGAAATGTCAGGCGCATCATTCAAATGAAAACTCAGCCTCTGAGACAAAGTCTTAGTAATTATTGTCTTTGAAAATGATGAAGAATACAATATTTGTCTCGAAATAAACAACATCCTTGTGTTACATTGTGCTTTGTCGACAGTACTTGGAATAATATAATATATATCAACACGGTAATTTTGTCTGTCCCTTCAATAATGACAGCAACATGCTTGTCTGCGAATATGAAACGAACAAATGAAAATAAGTAGACGAAAATTGTCTAAATTATTCAAGGAAGCATGTCACAGTGTATATATATATATATATATATATATATATATATATATATATATATATATATATATATATATATATATATGTGTGTGTGTGTGTGTGTGTGTGTGTGTGTGTGTGTGTGTGTGTGTGTGTGTGTAATCAAATAGATAAATATAGGTATACGTTCGAGCAAGCGTTCGTATAGAAATACATACATATATATATATATATATATATATATATATATATATATATATAAATATATATATAAAATAGAAAATAGGAAGGCTGGTTAGGTAAATAATCCAAAGTTCCTTAGTATTTTAGTTATTATTTTTAAAAATAGTGCTCGATACAAAAGCATAAATATAATTATTTATTTAAAAATATGATTCCAACTTGCGACATAAGAGGCCTCATGTTTCAAAACAAGAGCCGAAAAATTCAATATAATTATTTGAATTAAATTGAGTTAAAGTAAGCTCTGTTCCATCATAAAGCGAATTTTTTTTGGAAATAACGTATTTCTGAAATTTACGTGTTTTAATACGCTATTCCAAAAAAGATTACCCCTCTTGATATCCAAACGCTATTTTTTAATGACAGCGTCGTATTTTTTTAAATTAAAATTTATAATTATTATTTGCAAAATTATTTTTAATCTTAAATGTTAATCTGGGGCAAAATTCAAATCTAAAATTTAATTACAATTCAATTAATCGCTTAACAACATTATTAATCAACCCTAAAAATAAAATATCTCGCGATAACCAGAAGTATTAAACAATATAAACCCAAAATTATACCTGAGGATTGCAGATGGCATGAAACTCCTCATTGTGCAACCAACGTAGGGCATTTTATTTTAATATAGTGAATGTAGTGAATTTTATTTTAATCCGACACTGTTTCAAAAATAAAAGCACTTATTTGCATGTGAATTACTTCGTTTTACTTTTTCGATACGAAAACAAGCGTTAGCATCTATGATCTTTAGTGTAGTCAGCGGCTTCCGAAAATACTTGAACGAAAAAATGAGCTTTCTTTATAAAGGTAATTGAACCATTCTGCGACTTGAAGATCTGAGTGCCCGAGTTGTCTAAACACACCGGATCATATGTGTGGGGGTGGAGGGGGGTAAAATAGCTAAGGTAATTAATAAAACAAGAGCAAACGAAAGGAAAACAATGTAATCAGAAGGGAAAAAAATTATTAATTATCAGAGCAGAAAAACATAAGTAAATAGGAAATGGCTGTTAAATTTGGATTTAAAATGGATTTAAAATGTGGATGGAAGGCCTACACATTCGACGAGTGGCGTTTCTGGTAATAGGTTTCCTTGTGGAAATTATATTTTCTGAGTAAACCCAAATCTCTGCTTATTCCTTTTATGTGGAAATTTACTTTTATCATATAATTCAACTCTGACCTGCGTCTATACTCCTGACTGCCGAACTCAGACGCTAAATGCACTCACCCGACGTCGTCGATGCTGTGACCAGGTTGGTTGAAATATACGGATACCAGGAAATTGTTGTTGATGTTCCTAATGATTTTCTTGTGGTTATTGAATCGTAACCAGAACTCTGATCCGCTTTTTCCCACATAATTTCCCTTCTTGCATTTGTGGCAGAAAAATAGATATACGAGATTGGAACTGTCACTGTTTAGAGCAGGTGGTCTGAATACTACTTGAGTACGGGGTATGTGTATGTGTTGTGGGTGTTGATGTGCTTGAAGACCAGGCATCGTGGTTTGTTGCAGATGACATTCCCTTAGTGTGGTAGTGTGTTGCAGATTTTTGATGATGCTAAAAGTCTGAAGAGGTTGGGTGTCTGTCGCCTCGCGTGTAGGGGGTTATTACTAAATAAATTGCTAATAGTATTGTCTAATTTTAAATGTGGGAAATCTTTATATAATGTGTGGGAAGTTTTGTGGATATTTTATTAAAATAAAAGACCATGGGGATTCTGGAATTCTGTTTAGTCAAGGAGAGTATTTCTGTTAAGCTTGGAAGCTTTGGTGATGGATTCTTTTCTTAATTGGGGCGTGTGATTCCTATTAAGTAAGTGATTGTAAAGTTGTTCTATATGTAAGCTGCAATCCTCCTTGAAGAGAAGAGATGCGTTTGATGCGTAAGAATTGGCTATAAACTATAGATTTTTTAGGTTGGTGGGATGGCAGCTATTGAAATTATGGTAGCAGTGACCATCAGCGGTATTGGTGTATAGTGTGGTGGAGATGTGGTTGTTTTTCTAGACGTACCAGTGTGTCCAGAAACGGAATGGAAGTGGTGGAATATTCCATGGTGAATTTGCTGGTGTGAAGTAAGTTATTAAGGTGTTTTTTTTTTAAGATCTAGGAGATTGTTCTTGCTTTGTGTCCATATGAAGAAGATGTCGTCTATGTACCTTTGGTAGTGGCAGGGTGCCATGTGGTATCTACTAAACATAATTTGTTCAAAGGCATCCATGAAGATGTTAGCATAGCTAGGGGCCATTTTCGCCTCATCGCTGTGACTCTAACTTGAAGTAAATGGTGCTTGTTGAACTGGAAGTTGTTATGTGTGAGTACGAAACATATAAGGTTCGAAACATCTTGAATCTGGTGCTCGGGGAAGTCTCAGCTACTTAAAATCTTTTTGCAGGCTAGTATACCCTCCTCATCTAAGGTCACAGGGAGTGTATTGTAAGGTAAACTATGTTACTCAGGTTTTTTAGGATATGCGAAGTGTGTTTATTATAGCTAGGCATATATGGTAATAGTGTTGAGGATTTGGTCAATATAAATAGAATTGTGTTGTGTAAGGGTTATTTTACCAGAAACTATTAGGCCGGCAGGTTGGATGGATATTGAAGGATTCCATCAGCTCATGCATGTGGGCTTCTGTTGATGTCCTCTATAGAAAGGTTGGTGATTGTGGCTTTGACTATTTTAGTGGTGTAGAAAGGTTGGTGGTTTGTGGCTTTGACTATTTTAGTGAATTTGTGTTTGTTTAGTGAAGAATGATCCGGGTTTGGGACTATCCGGGATTAAAACCTTGATTGGCGCCTGTATGTTGTGGTTTGAATGTCTAAGACAATGGAGTTCAGACATGAAATCTTCAGTGGGATCTAGGGAGAATGTTTTTTTTATAAAAACATGTATCATTTAGCTAGGATTCCGCTACTGCGATGTATTTACTCTTGTCTATGATAGTGATTGAAGGGCCCTTGTCGGCTTGATTTATAATTATGTCTTTGTTAGCATTGAGCGATTTTATGGCCGTTCATTCCTGTCTGTTGATATTATTGTGGCTTAGATGGAGGTTGTTTTGTATGAATTTGTTTAGGTGGTCCCTGGCCATTTTTGTATACGAATCAATTTTGGGAGGAGGTAACATGACAATATATATATATATATATATATATATATATATATATATTTAAATATGTTTGAAACAATACAGAAGCGTATTACGGCATAAAAAGCAAGAAATTTTATATTGTAGGCCATGATAGATTTAAAACAAAAACACAACCAGTCGACCGGTTTCGTCCCCTCTCATCAGAACTGCTAACGGGAACTAAAATTATGAAGAAAAGGAAAAGAAAAGTCTGTCATGGATGACATGAATGAGTGGACAAGGAGAAAAAAAAATTATTATAAAAATTATACCAACAAAGATGTTAGAAGTGCAGCACAGCAAGTCCAAGCAAGCAATCTCTTTGTTTACAAAGAGCAGGTTCCCTGGACCTGATGTAAAGCGTATCCAACACCTTAAGATGGAATAATGAGTGTGAACTGGCCAAAACGGAAAACCAGTTCACACTGAAATCCATCGCACAAGTGGGATTCTTTATAAAGTGATGCGCAATCGAAGACCCATACGTGTTAAGAATGGTATCGCCCAAAGAAAATTTTTTATTCAGTATTATCGCAGGTACGTGTTGTTTAATTCTAACGTCCAACCGCTGTGTCGTTCTACCTATGTAGTCGCATCCACAACTACATTTGAAATGGTAAATAACAGAATTAATATGGTAAGGGGGGTGGAACATCTTTACACATAGATGAAAGTACGGACTTAGTTTGAAAAACAACACGAACGTTTGCTGCAAAATAACACTCACGTGAACTACATGAAATACGCTTGGCGAAGGATTCACTAATCCTACCCATTTTAATAGATTAGTACTTTTATTGCTTGATGGTCATCCTGACGATATGAATATGCATTGTTTACCTACATAGTGTTATTCGTGTTGGTGTATATGTATATATATTTATTTGTTTGTAGGTTTGTGTGTTTGTACTGCGGAATGTGTAGGTTTGTATATAGTGTATTTATATGTTTATTTATATATATATATATATATATATATATATATATATATATATATATATATATATATGTGTGTGTGTGTGTGTGTGTGTGTGTGTGTGTGTGTGTGTGTGTGTGTGTATATATATATGTGTGTATATGTATATATAAGGTGGGAGTGTGGAAGATAAGAGGTTAAAAATGTTGATGTTGATATATATGTATATGTAGTGAGTTCGTTCCTCACTGGGTGCCCCCTAATTTCGGCTCTGTGCCACTATATATATATATATATATATATATATATATATATATATATATATATAGATATGTGTGTGTGTGGGTATATGTATGTGTGTATATATATATGTGTGTGCATATATATATATATATATATATATATATATATATATATATATATATATATATATATATATATATATATATATGTGTGTGTGTGTCCTATTTTATTGTGTATATAAATTTATATTTACGTATATTTCTGTTTGTATGAATGTGTTTATATATGTATGTTAGGGTATATGTATATTGGTGTGTGCATGTATTTGGATGTATGTTTATGTATGTATATGTATGTGCGTTTATATATGTATTTGGTTGATAGTCGTTGTATTTATATGTATGTACGTATATATTGGTACTTGTTATTATAGATAGGTATATTTATGTATATGTTTATATGTTGATATGTATGTATGTGTATATATATGTATGTTTGTGGATGTATATGTGTGTGTTGACACATATTATATATGAGATTGTTTGTGTGTATGTTTAGGTATGGAAACTTTGGTATGTCATTATTGCCACAGTAGTTATTCTATGTGTGTATATATGTTCATATGTGTATTGGTGCGTGTATATATGTGTTTATATATGTGAGTATGTATGCATAAATGTGTGTATATATACGTTTATATATGTTTATATGTATGTATGTGTATTTGTTATCATAGATATGTATATGTGCGTATATGTTTATATATTTATATGTATGTACTTCTGTGTGTGTATATATATGTATATATATGTATATGTATTTATGTATGTATGTATGTATATGTGGGTTAGTTTGTGTTTGCTGCCGCGTGTATATATGTGTATATATGTATATACGTATGACAGTACACTTATTTCTGTAGGTTTTCTTTATCCTGTTTTCCTTCGACCAATATATAATGAAACGATTATCAACTTATATGATTAAAATGTGTTTTTATTGATATTTCTGGTTTTGGAAATTTCGTTTTAATATATTAAATAATATTATTTTTAACCATTTTTATCTTTTTATATTTGCCCGCTTAAGTTATATTTTAATAAGTGGCTAGGATTTGTTTAATGATACTTTCAGTCTTAAATATTTATTGGTTGTGGTATCTGATTGTCAAGGTCAATGTCTGTGGATGTGTGTACATGTATTTATCGGTGTCTATGTGTATGGAGAGTGCATTCACTTTATTTTGTGTGTGTGTGGGTGTTGGTTTCCCCGTTTCCTTTTTTCACAAAGGGCTGTGGAGATGTTCCTGTCTCGTCGCTTTTTTTTTTGTGTATATATATATAAATATGTCTGGGTGCTTATATATTATAATATGATTGTGTTTTTGTTGTTTTGCGCGTGAGCTTAAGACCTCATTCACACACTTTGGATTAAAATATATATACATGTATTGTCAAATAACTGGATATTGTAGCGCCTGTTCTAACGTATTTCAACGAAGAAATAAATTGAATAACATATGTATTTTTTCTTTTCTCCTCAGTAATTTTATAGTTTTTAAACTTAATAGTGATTTAAAATTGGCAGTTTTTAATCTTAATATCAAATTTTATCATATAATTTAATAATTATTGGTTAGAATAAATTCTTTTTAATATTACCCGTATTTTAAAGATCTGAATAGCTATTATAAAATGATTTCGTTGTCGAGCTTTTGAATCTTCCTATTCTTGGGTTTTGATTGGTTATTCTAGCTTTTGTAACAATGTTTTCTCCTAGCGAAGGATCGTTAATTAATTTGAAACTTTTAAAACCATTTATTTTATCTTCAACATCGTCACTTGATAAGACACCGAGGGTGTTGAAACAAAATGGCTATTTTGGTAGTGGTTTTATGTGGATTTTTTTTTTATAAAAAATAATTATATATATATATATATATATATATATATATATATATTGGTTCTTTTTGCTTCTTTGCATTCACGTGGAATCGCATACGATGTTCGCCATTTTGGTGTGGGTATTTCGAGAGACAGTTTGTTATTCGTAATTTCAAACACCGACGTTACTAAAAGCCGCAAAAATTGGGAAACACATAAACCCCCTCAAATATATATATATATATATATATATATATATTTATTAAAAACATTTTATTTATGTTTAACGTTGTTATTTTTATAGATACAAGTATTTAAGCAAATGCTCTGTTTATGATAAACAGTATTAAATAACATTTACCGGCCTGAATGTCCGAGAAATTTTCATAGAAAATATTCGTTCATAGACAGGATTCGAACCTGCATCCTATACGGAACCGCCATATACGCTGGCGTGCCTTGACCACTCGGCCACCATGAACCTTATGGTAGACAAGGTCGAATTTACTGTTATAAACTTACAATCTTCCATGAATCTCGTACATTCATAACTGCTCTGGCGTATCGAATGTAAACAAATGACGTCATATGTTAAGAAATGGACGAGGTCCGACAATTTATTTATTAAAGACATTTTTTATTTATGTTTAACGTTGTTATTTTTATAGATACAAGTATTTAAGCAAATGCTCTGTTTATGATAAACAGTATTAAATAACATTTACCGGCCTGAATGTCCGAGAAATTTTCATAGAAAATATTCGTTCATAGACAGGATTCGAACCTGCATCCTATACGGAACCGCCATATACGCTGGCGTGCCTTGACCACTCGGCCACCATGAACCTTATGGTAGACAAGGTCGAATTTACTGTTATAAACTACAATCTTCCATGAATCTCGTACATTTCATAACTGCTCTGGCGTATCGAATGTAAACAAATGACGTCATATGTTAAGAAATGGACGAGGTCCGACAATTTATTTATTAAAGACATTTTTTATTTATGTTTAACGTTGTTATTTTTATAGATACAAGTATTTAAGCAAATGCTCTGTTTATGATAAACAGTATTAAATAACATTTACCGGCCTGAATGTCCGAATTTTCATAGAAAATATTCGTTCATAGACAGGATTCGAACCTGCATCCTATACGGAACCGCCATATACGCTGGCGTGCCTTGACCACTCGGCCACCATGAACCTTATGGTAGACAAGGTCGAATTTACTGTTATAAACTACAATCTTCCATGAATCTCGTACATTCATAACTGCTCTGGCGTATCGAATGTAAACAAATGACGTCATATGTTAAGAAATGGACGAGGTCCGACAATTTATTTATTAAAGACATTTTATTTATGTTTAACGTTGTTATTTTTATAGATACAAGTATTTAAGCAAATGCTCTGTTTATGATAAACAGTATTAAATAACATTTACCGGCCTGAATGTCCGAGAAATTTTCATAGAAAATATTCGTTCATAGACAGGATTCGAACCTGCATCCTATACGGAACCGCCATATACGCTGGCGTGCCTTGACCACTCGGCCACCATGAACCTTATGGTAGACAAGGTCGAATTTACTGTTATAAACTACAATCTTCCATGAATCTCGTACATTCATAACTGCTCTGGCGTATCGAATGTAAACAAATGACGTCATATGTTAAGAAATGGACGAGGTCCGACAATTTATTTATTAAAGACATTTTTTTTATTTATGTTTAACGTTGTTATTTTTATAGATACAAGTATTTAAGCAAATGCTCTGTTTATGATAAACAGTATTAAATAACATTTACCGGCCTGAATGTCCGAGAAATTTTCATAGAAAATATTCGTTCATAGACAGGATTCGAACCTGCATCCTATACGGAACCGCCATATACGCTGGCGTGCCTTGACCACTCGGCCACCATGAACCTTATGGTAGACAAGGTCGAATTTACTGTTATAAACTACAATCTTCCATGAATCTCGTACATTCATAACTGCTCTGGCGTATCGAATGTAAACAAATGACGTCATATGTTAAAAAATAGAAATGGACGAGGTCCGACAATTTATTTATTAAAGACATTTTTTATTTATGTTTAACGTTGTTATTTTTATAGATACAAGTATTTAAGCAAATGCTCTGTTTATGATAAACAGTATTAAATAACATTTACCGGCCTGAATGTCCGAGAAATTTTCATAGAAAATATTCGTTCATAGACAGGATTCGAACCTGCATCCTATACGGAACCGCCATATACGCTGGCGTGCCTTGACCACTCGGCCACCATGAACCTTATGGTAGACAAGGTCGAATTTACTGTTATAAACTACAATCTTCCATGAATCTCGTACATTCATAACTGCTCTGGCGTATCGAATGTAAACAAATGACGTCATATGTTAAGAAATGGACGAGGTCCGACAATTTTATTTATTAAAGACATTTTATTTATGTTTAACGTTGTTTATTTTATAGATACAAGTATTTAAGCAAATGCTCTGTTTATGATAAACAGTATTAAATAACATTTACCGGCCTGAATGTCGAGAAATTTTCATAGAAAATATTCGTTCATAGACAGGATTCGAACCTGCATCCTATACGGAACCGCCATATACGCTGGCGTGCCTTGACCACTCGGCCACCATGAACTGTTTATGGTAGACAAGGTCGAATTTACTGTTATAAACTACAATCTTCCATGAATCTCGTACATTCATAACTGCTCTGGCGTATCGAATGTAAACAAATGACGTCATATGTTAAAAATGGACGAGGTCCGACAATTTATTAAAGACATTTTATTTATGTTTAACGATTTATTTTTATAGATACAAGTATTTAAGCAAATGCATTCTGTTTATGATAAACAGTATTAAATAACATTTACCGGCCTGAATGTCGAGAAATTTTCATAGAAAATATTCGTTCATGAACAGGATTTCGAACCTGCATCCTATACGGAACCGCCATATACGCTGGCGTGCCTTGACCACTTATGAACCTTTTAGTAGACAAGGTTGAATTTACTGTTATAAACCACAATCTTCCATGAATCTCGTACATTTCATAACTGCTCTGGCGTATCGAATGTAAACAAATGACGTCATATGTTAAAGAAATGGACGAGGTCCGACAATTTATTTATTAACGAACATTTTTATTTATGTTTAACGTTGTTATTTTTTAGAAACAAGTATTTAAGCAAATGCTCTGTTTATGATAAACGGTAAATTAAATAACGTCATTTGAATGTCGAAATTTTCTTAACAAATATTCATTTGTTTCAGAGATTAAATGTGAGATGCATTTGTATTTATAACAGAACCTGTCTATACGAAGGTTGGAAATATGGTGGCCGACACCTCAATTTCTTATGCACGCCAGCAAATATATCTCGGACATTGTATAAACTACAATTTATGATTCAGGCCGGTAAATTCATAAACTGCTCTGGCGTATTTTCGAATTAAACAAATGAAACTTGTATCTATAAAAATAAATGGACGAAATATAAATAAAAAATGTATTTATGTCCATTTCTTAACATATGACGTCATTTGTTTTACATTCGATACGCCAGAGCATTTATGAATGTACGAGATTTATTTTTCTTTTATAACATAAATTCGACCTTGTTATATAGGTTTTATATATATATGCCAGCGTATATGGCGGTTGCAGGATTCGAATCCTGTCTATGAACGAATATTTTCTATGAAAATTTCTCGACATTCAGGCCGGTAAATGTTATTTAATACTGTTTATCACTAAACAGAGCATTTGCTTAAATACTTGTATCTATAAAATAACAACGTTAAACATAAGTAAAATGTCTTTAATAAATAAATTGTCGGACCTCGTCCATTTTTTAACATATATATATATATATATACTCATACTATCCTTAGGGCCCAATTTTTTTTTTTACTACTGATGATTGTATGAGTGCATGAAACTTTCAGTAGCATAGAGGTAGATGTGCAGAAACGTTTATATGATTATATATATATATATATATATATATATATATAGCCTCTCTTTTTCCCTTCCAATTTTCTTTTTAGTGACATTTTCATAATCTCTTAGAATTTTCTTTCTTTCTTTGTCATTTCAACACATTTTATTGCCTTTCTGTCTTTTATTTTCATACTATTTCGCTTTATATCACTTCTTTCTTTAGTTCTTTGTGTCTGCCTGTCTCCCTTCCTGCTTTCTTTTTTCTTTCATTTTACTGTCTGTCGTTACATCTTTTATTTTCATATTATTTCGCATTATATCACTTTTTTCTTTCTCTATTTATTACTTTTTTTCTTCCTTCCTTTCTTTCTTTCGGTCTGTCTGTCTATCGTCTTTATTTTTTCTCTTTGTCTTTCTGTCATTCTTCTTTCTTTTATGTCTTTCTGTCTATCTGTCTTTCTCTTTTCTTTCTTTCTTTAATTTCGTCATTCTTTCCCCTTTTAAATTTGCATGCAATTTCACTTTTAGTTCTTTTATTATTTTCTTTTTTATATCTTTATTTTTTTCCCCTTGGTATTCATGCATTTCACTTTTCTTTTATTCTTTCTTTTTATTTTAAGCTTTTTTCTCTTTTTTATTTTCATTTGTTTTTATCAATTCTTTCTTTTTCATTTTAACGTCTCTTTTAAGTTTATCTTTCATTCTCATTTTCGTTTCATATGGTATTCGCTTCTGTGTTTCCCATTCATTCTCCTTCTCCTTTTTCTTTCTTCCCTTCTTACCTTCAGTGCACCCGTTTTCCTTCCTTTCGTCGCCGATTTTCTCCGTGTTTGCTTTTCAAAAGCAGCTATGGGTAAATGTCAGAATTTTCATGCAATCTTTTCTAACGGAATCAGCCAGAAACAAATGCCACATTCGGAATTGTCAGAAAATCATTACGAACCTCTCAGATGAAGACAAGAAGAATTCAAAGAAAAGAACACGCTTGATTTTTTTAAGCAAAAGGAGATTTTTCAAATAAGATAAGAGCGGGTAAATTCAATTATTCAACATTTCACATCTTGATAGTAATAAAATAAAAAACGGAATATAATTTGATTTCCAAGACAGATAAACAGTCGGATGATTTAAAGAGTATTACTTCAAACGTTATTTTTCGTGGATAGCAGTGTTCTAATAGACGTTCCGTTTTCTTTTTTAAACAGTGTATATTACGTCTATCGGCTTCCGCTCTCAAGAATACTTATAGTTTGAAGCTGCCTTTCCATTTACGAGGAAAACAGCCGTCCATTCGGCCACACCACATCAAACGGCGTTTTCTCTATGACATTTTATTAAGTTTTACCGTTACACAAGTTGGTAGTCGTAATACACAGTATTTAAAAATCGGGGCGTCTATTAGAACACAAGTATTAACTAAAATAATGGTTAAAGTAATTAAAATGCTTTATTAAAATAAATCCATTTATATCTGTATATATATATATATATATATATATATATGTATGTGTTTATATATATATATATATATATATATATATATATATATATATTAAAAGTAAATCCATTAATTCTTCTTATATATATTTGTGTGTGCACGTGTTTGTGCGTGTGTGTGTGTATTTACGCAACAATCCTTTTATCGTGCAAGCTCCATTAAATATGACAGACAAGGCGTTTGATTACGTTTTTGATATAATTTATCATATGAACTTATATTCTTTTCCGTAGATAAATTATACAAAAACTGTCCGAATGTTTTTAATTTTTCAAGCATTTACGGCTTTATATTTAGCCATTATCAAGGATGAATTATATTTAATGTTAACTAAAAATGGATTGTTGTATGTATGTATTTAGCATTATAGAATGTTTTATTTTCAATAGACATGCCTTATTAATAAAAACGAAAAAAAAAACAACACTAAATAATATCAACTATGAACAGGGACATAATATGTTGACTACGTTTTGAAAATAAAAGATTCAATATTGCTAAATAAATACATACATAATCCATTTTCAGTTAACAGTAAATATAATGCATCCTTGATAATGTCTAAAGGTAGTTTTTAATTTGTTTATTATTTTATTTATTTATTTGGATTGATTATTTTTACTTGCTTTTACTTATTTATGTTTATTTTTTATTAGTTCTAACGGTTATTTTAGAGGGAAGAATTTGTTAATTTATTTATTTATTAGAATTAATTTTTCTTATTTATTTTCTTAATTTTTATTTTGTATATTTTTATTTACCCTATTCGGTTTTCGATTTTTTTATCGTTATATAGCAGTTATAGCTATTTTCTCGACCAATTTTTGGATTAATTGTTGTAGTCTATTCTAACGGTTATTGTTTGTTATTGTGTTTATTGTTTATTCATTTGGATTATTTTTAACTTGTATTTTATGTATTTTTTAATTTTTTTATTTATTCTATTTCGTCTATTCTAACCGGAGTGGTTTGTTAATTTGTTTATTATTTACTTGAGTTAATTTATTTTACATGTTTTTAAAATTATTTTGTTTATTTTTAATTATTCTTTTCAGTTTTAGATTTTTAAGTTACGTAGTAAAAATTTGTTTTCATGTCTGCATTTCGAGATGAGCTCAGATTGTTTATTTATTAATTTATTTTGGTCTGTAAAGGTAATAATAGCTATTTTCCTCCAGGCAAAGTTTGAAGGTTTGTTGATTGATTGTTGTAGGCTGGTCATCTTTTTCTTATTTTGCATGATATTTTTGGTGTGATTTGCGTTTTGTTTTTAATTTCCCAGATATACTTAGAAAGCATTGTGCTGTTCACGTATTTACTATTTGTGAAACATTTTTGGTGTGCATAGTTTCGTTTGTTTCCAGTGTCCTTCAGTTACTCCTATATATACTTATTTTCATTATATGGTGATTTTACAGTTGCTTGGTATATTACATTGTTTTGTAAACAATTACCGTTTAAGGGACATTCATTCTTTATTTTACAGTTACACATGGGTTTAATTTGTTCGCGTGGTTTGTTGATAGTTTTCCTGTTGTGCTTTTTATGATTTGTGCCATGTTCTCTGTGCAACTGTATCTTTTACCTAGGTTGTTTTTTTTTTTTTTTTTGCTGTACGGTGGGTTGAGCCATATGATATTTCTCTTCCTGTTGGCTTTTTTGTGCTCTGTGGTGAGTATGTAAGTGTTGCCAGGAATCCATTATCTTTTAGGGCTATTTTGTGGTCTTTCTTAGCTTCGTTAAATATGGTTTCATTGGAAGGATTGTCGGAAAGCCTTCGGTTAATCGATTTTGGTATCTGTTTGATTATTGGATGATGTGTGTCTATACCCTGGTTTACCATTGGGTTTTCTGTATGGTTTATATGTGCCTTTTCTTAGGTTGAAGGTAACATCTACAAAATCTAATTCGTTTTTGAAAATCTGTATTATTGTTGCTTTTCTAAAAAACACACAGACAAAACTATAAAAGCAATAAAAAGATTTTCAAAAATAACGGATTTGACATAGATATAAAAACGAAAAGCAAAATATTAAAAAAGCGACCTAAACAAATGCCAATTTTTTTAACTACGTTAATAAAACATTGAAAGACGAAAAGAATATATAAATATAAAATAAAAAATAAAAACAAATAAAATAAATTAGCCCAAATAAATAAATAATCATGCCAATTCCTCTATAATAATGGCCAGAATGGATTACCCACAATGCACAACTGACTTATATATATAAATAGTCAACAAAAAACCCAACACTCGTGGCCTGACGATTGCGTCTAGCATGAAACAGCCTATCGCCTCTGAGTATTGGCTTCAATGTTCAATTTCTATTTAATTTACATAGTAGCAGTAATTATTCGGGAAAGGATATTTACATACGGTCTATCTCTGATATTGAGCATTTTATCGCCTAAATATAGCAATTTTTATATTTCTGGATATATATATATATATATATATATATATATATATATATATATAATTATTCATTTATTTAAAAAAAATTTATAACATAAATATGTTATAAAATCACTACAAAAATAGCCATTGTGTTTCAACACTCTCGGTGTCTTATCAAGTGATGATGTTGAATGTAAAATAAATGGTTTTAAAACCTTTGAATTAATTAACAATACTTCACAAGGGGAAAACGTTGTTACAAAAGCTAGATGGACCAATCAAAATACAAGTATAGGAAAATTCAAAAAGCTTGACAACGAAGTCATGTTATAATAGCTATTCAGATATTTAAAATATGGGTAGTATTAAAAAAGAATTTATTCTAACCAATAATTACTAAATTATATGATAAAATTTAATATTGAAATTAAAAACTGCTAATTTCAAGATCAAAATTTAATCGCTATTAAGTTTACAACTATAAACTTACTGATGAGAAAAGAAGCAATATATATGTTAGTCAATTTATTTCTTCATTGAAGTTACTTTAGCTAATTTTATATCCGGTCCTTTGACAATGTATCCATTTTAATCCTAAGAGTGTGTGAATGGGGTCCTAAACTCACGCGTAAAACAAACGCAATCAGATTATAATATATAAGCACCGAGACATATTTAAATATATATACACACACAAAAAGAGACGAGACAGAGAACATCACCACGATCGTATAAAAAAAAAAAAGGAAGTGTTGGGGGGGGTAGAATCCAACGCACACGTACATACATTTTTTTTTATACGATCGTACACATAGACAAATACATGCACACACATCCACAGACATTGACCCGGACAATCGGATACAACAACCAATAAATATTTAAGACTGAAAGTGTCATGACATAAATGCTCAGCACTTATTGAAATATAACTTAAGCGAGCAAATATACAGAGATAAAAATGATTAAAAATAATATTATTTAATATATTAAAATAGTGTGTGTAAATATAAAATCGTACATCAAAGTCAACACCCATAGGTAACTTCGATGTCCACCTCACACACATACATATATATATATATATATATATATATATATATATATATATATATATATATATATACATATATACACACACACACATATATATATATATACATATACACACACATATATATATATACATGCATATATATACATATAAACACACACAAATAAACACATATATACATATAATAATTTTTTCTTTACACACACACACATATATATATATATATACACACACACACATACATACACACAGAAATACATACAAATAAATACATAAACATATACATACGTATATATCTCCATGATAATAAGTACACATACACAGACATATAAACACATATACACCCATATATGTACACATACGCACATGTAAATACATATATACACACAGCAATACACAAATATAAAACATATATACACACATATACTAGCTCATGGCTGTAAGTTGACATACCCAAGTTTCCATACCTACACGTACACACAATCTCATATACAATAGGTGTCAACATACACATATACAACCGCAAACATACATAAGTATTTACATACACATACACATATATATATACATATACATATGCATATATATATTTATATATATATATATACATATATACACACATATACATACACATACACACACACAAACACATACACACACATATATATATATAATACCTATCTATAATAACAAGTACACATATATACCTACATACACATATATATATACATATACATATGCATATATATATTTATATATATATATATATACATATATACACACATGTACACACATACACACACACAAACACATACACACACATATATATATATAATACCTATCTATAATAACAAGTACACATATATACCTACATACACATAAATACAACGACATTCAACCAGAT